GTCTGAGAGGGGGAGACTGTCTGTCTGAGGAGAGATTATACCATTAGGGCATGCTTCTTTGGAGCTATAATACTTCTATCCATTGTGGTTAGCAGTTTATATTGAGTGTGACAGTGTGCAAACAACAGCTATATTTTAAAGTAAATAGTAAAACTGAAATGAACTGCACAGAAGGACAACAAAATCACACCCTGCACTATTTGTGCCAGCATACTGCCGTGCATTACTGCCATAGCCACTCGGACACAATGAAAATCACACATGCTAGGTCAATTACACCAGAATGCTCCTCACGTGGGATCTGAACTCTCTTTATAACCCAGGGGAATAATAACACCTTGAAAGGTCCACTGGCCACAGAATAATACTGGGGCTAGGAGCAGCAGACTTAGCTCACACAGGCATGTCTAGTGTATGGGTGTGAAATATTTGCAGCCAAATCCCATGCAAATTTTCAGGATTGCCACATCATTTGTGTTCCACCTTATCTCTGGAGAACTGAGCATCATAGTGGCCAGAAATAGGAATGTTTACACTCCTCCCAATAGCCATGAATTGTCAGCCATCGAAAGACTTTAGGTTTATTTAGTAGTAGCCTCCTAATCAGTGACCAGAGGATCTAAGAACAATATTACTGCAAAACTTGCCAAGTTACTTTTTCAAACCTTGATCAAGGGTTTTTATTAGATCGTGCAAAAAGAAACCTTCTTGTTCTACAGTACACTTTTAAACACCTTGGCTTAATAAAGCAGTAGCTTTCATTGTAGCATCAGTGTTTTCCTCTCTTTCATTTCTCAACAGAAAAGTTCCTCTCGATTTTGTTAGAATGTCTTAATTTTCACCCTCTCCATATGGAGAAATAGTGCTAACTTTCATCTCACTCACGTTCTCCCCTGCAGCATGTTAGCCCTGCTGTTTAATGAAGTCAGACCTTCTCTTCTTTGTTAGGTCATAAAGTGAAGAGGGAAGTTAATTTGCCTGCAACAGGAGGGCTCCCTGTAAGCTTCCTAGAAATACCCTGTGGCAGCCTCCGAGTCTATCTGCATCTCTCACCTCTCTGTGCTTGTACGCTACATGTCAGAATTGGCACCGTTTCTGAGAAAATGTTACTTTTTCATATCATGCAATTTTGAATTCCTAATTATTGCCTCCGACACAGTGTTGTACCGGTACAGGGTAATGTGTGTGATGTGGGGTAAGAGAACAATGTGAAGTGTCTTCTGGTTTTGCAGAGGGCTGTATTTGTCCTGGTGAGGTTTGCAGTTCTGTCTGTAATTATCGAGAGCGAAATGTGACACTGGTTGGAGAATGGTGCCACAGGGGATATGAGGCCCAGGTTGTCATGGAGCCCATTACAGATGCACAAATGATACATTGAAAATAGCTGGTATTTGTTTGCACAGGCCATGCCAAGCTAGACTGAATACAGTTCAGCAGAATAGTGTTTGTTAGTGTCGAAGTGTCTAAAGTTATGTGGACAAGTGGCCCTCCTTGCATCCGGTACCTTGGCTATACTGATGGTGGTCAGGTAACTCTGTGAATACTTTGGGCTCTAATACGAATTTGTTGGATTTTTCAAACCTTGCGGTATAATAGAGCTGTTTGGCAAGCTGTTACATCCGACGTGTTTAACCATGTAACTAGCTGTTTCAAGGCACAGTCTTGTTTATCAAGATTTATCCTTTGAAATTGCAATCGTTAAGCTGCCTTGGGCTTCCTTTCATGTGAGGTGTCTGAAACCAAGGCTTTCAAGACAAGGGAGTGAAAGTGACACCACAAGTGCCTAAATAATAGGGTTATCTGTATGTGAGGAGCTAGGGATATCATAACTAACTTCAGACCACTCCACTGGATGAAGATCGTTGGGAAATTTAGCAATACCTTTGGAGGGGCCTGAGCTTGGCTGGCTGAGCCTAAAACCCTGAAATCTGGGTTTTAGAGCTCATCTTGCACTCAATGTCCAGACTGTTACTAGACTAGACTATAACCCCCATCTCTGAACTGGCTTCATCACTCTGTTCTCCTCCCCACTGAGAGCTGGTGTGTGGGGAGCGGACTGGTGCACTATGGCTGCTGTCGCGTCATCCAGGTGGGGCTGGACACTAGTGGTGGTGGAGGGGAGTCACCATTACTGTAAAGCGCTTTTATTGGAGTGTCCAGAAAAATGCTATATACGTGTAAGGAATTATCATTAAGTATTAATATTATTATTATTAGACACTCTAGTTAATCTGGACCCTCCTATCTGCCAGAACCTAATAAGCTTCAAAAGCAACCACAGCATAGATCACTGAACGTTCAGGAGTTTACTGAAGTGAGTTGCACACTATGTGCTTTTGAGACTGGACCAGCTCTAGTTATCGCATGTAAATGTGTGTGCGTGTGTGTGTGTATTTTAGCCACTGTGACCCAGATGCTTTGCAGGCTCTGCTGCTGTGTGTGTCTGTGTACACAACTCTGCTTCACACCAGATGGTGTGTATTCAGTTGTGCAACAAATGTTTACATACCCATTGCACCAAAAAAAAAAGCTTAATTGAAAACTCCAATTTAAAGGCCTGAGTACTGATTACTAAACAGAATTTTAAAACTTGTTTTGCATACTATCTTGCATTTGTGGAGTAAGTCGCCATTTACAACCTCTTGTCAATGTTTCTGAGGAAATCAATGTCACATTTTTAAAACAATTAAAGTTGAATTGAAAGATTTTTGTGCCAAGGCCATGACACTGGAGTATTCATGACTGACCTCTGTTCCTATGTACATGTTGAGCATTTGCAAAGTGCCCTAGAGCAAGCAAAGAGAGTTGGCCTGTTCAAACAAGTTTATTGTGAAAACAGTGCTCCGCGGAGAAATGAAACTTGGTACAAATAAAACTCGAGATGGTGCTGACAGTGGGGCTCTGCAGCTGTGTAACATGCCCGTTCACACATGCAAGCCATCATACACACAACCAGTGCTCAGACTGAGTCAGTGCAGCACCCAGTGGTGTGAGTAATTGTACGTGTCCCTCTCAGCCCTCCATTTGTGTGGGAATCACCTTTTATTGTTCTCCACTGCACGGTTGTAGAATGTTGATGGACAAACAGGACAGCTAACTTTGACACCCTGTATATTGTTTCCTCAGGGACTGATAAACATATCCTACGTTTTCATCATTTTAAGTAATTGGGAGAAACAAAGTGCTATTATTTTCCCAGCTGGTAGGCAGCTGTGTGACAGAACAGCTAGTGTATCTTAACACTTTTGTCATTTTCTCTCACCCCTGTCTGAAAGATTGAGGCAACCGTGAATAATTTATCAAATACTGCACAGGGCTTTCAAAGCCTGCGATGGAAAATTTGTGCATGCTTCTGTGTGCATAAAAAGTTGAAAGCTCTTTTTATTAACAGGCAACAAAGGTTTGGAGGAAAAAGGTTCCTGTGTTTCCTTTAGTGTACAGTCTCATATAGAAAGTAAATAATAGAAGATTATTATTCATTTTTCTGTAAACATAGTGTCTTTTCATGTAGAACACCATCCCCACGTTGCAATTATGAGGAGTACTGCTCACAATTACTATTAAAATAGTAATTATAATAATTATAAGTAATTAGATAGAATCGCTATTACTAATAATAATTACAACAAATTACTAATCATAATTACACTTTGTTTCTCCCAATGACTTAATATGAAAACATAGGATATGTTTATCAGTCCCTGAGGAAGCAATATACGGGATGTCAAGGTTAGTTGTCCTAAACATCAGTCTAATACACGTAGTCAAATTAAGAATAGTATTTCCAACAAATATAACAAAGTCTCAACCAGCACAGCTCTTGGTTTCGGGTTCAATTCCTGGCTGGGGCACGGGTTTGGAGGTTGCATGTTCTCCCCAAGTTCGCGTAGGTTTTGCCAGCTGTGACCCTGACCAGGAGCAGCATTCTGATAATGTATGGGCAGCAGGATAACTTTATGCAACACTGAGTTTCACATGCAAACACTGCAGTATTTGGAAAGGTCTCCTGAATTTGTTCACATATCAATGCTAGTCTCTCTAACATGACTCTTAGGCTATTTTCACATTCAAAAGATATGCGTATCCAGCCGTATATGTGGTACTGCACCACAGTTATGAATTTTAATGTCATTTATTCTAGATTCCATTTTTGCTCTTGGTTCTGGCCTTAGAGACTTTTCTTCTGCAGATCCCTGCTCCAGTAGCTCTACAGGCACTGCTCTGAGCACTGCTTGGCTGTTTGGCCTAAATACTAATGGCCAGAGCGAAGGTGAGAGGTTGCTCCCACATTCCCCTGCTGCTTGGTGCAGACAGAATCACAGCCTGACTTCAGGCAAGGCTAGCCTCCTGGGAAAACGGTGTCAAAATCTAGTGAGAACCAGTAGCAGGCGATTTCTTTTCTATGTGGAACAGACAAGAGGAATGAAGTATTCTCTCTGGTGACTGGGGGCATCTGTGCTATAGAATCTGCAGCTCTTCAACACTAATGTGTGTCTCAAACCAGCTGCCGTTACGTAAGATATGAGCTGTGTAAACAAAAGTTTTCATCATTCAACGGGCCTTAATTGTGAGTCGAGTCCAGTGCCTCTGGATGTAGCTCATGAATTTGGCCAATCCACTGGAGCAGCAAGGCTTAAGCAACACAAACACCACCTTTCAACACAATTGCCTCCATCCAGCCCCCTGTGATGTAGGAAGCGAAATGTCTTTAGTGCTTGACCCATTCTTTGATATTCACCCCATGATTGTTTTCAAGAGTTCCTCCTTTTACACTCGCCTCTTCCATTGCTTTTATTTTCCTCGTCAGTTTCAGGAAGGTTTTTCTGTTCTCTGATGACATCTGTCCCTTCAGACCCCATTTGCTCCTGTCAGTCTGTGCGGGTGTCTTGAGTGTTGTTGAGTGGCCTCCTTGTGCAATCCAGCGACGCCGTCTTCGTGACAGCGGAGCAGGCAGCATCGGTCCTGGGAGACACTGAGCCTCTTTGCTCTCTTCGTTCCAGGTGAATCAGGCCTGGGAAAATCCACCCTCATCAACTCACTCTTCCTCACAGACCTCTACTCCAAGGAGTACCCTGGGCCCTCGCAGCGCATCAAAAAGACTGTCCAGGTAAGAGGGCACGACAGACCTCAAGCCTCTGCTTAGCACTTGGTTTGTGAGAAACTTAAAGTTTCTTTCCTTCTGCATCATTTATTCCTTTGTGCATTAACTGGCTTCTCTTTGTACAAGCAATTGATTGCTATATTTTAGATTTCATCATGTACATATCTTGTGTATTTGTTTCACTCACTGATGACCCAGCTTCATTTTGAATTGTAAGGGTTATTGAAAGCTTCTGACTTGTTTTTAAATCTTGTGCATGTCTGTTTTTTTATTTGTTTACAGGTTCAAGTTGTGTTAAATGTATTATGTATCGTGTACATGTTTTTACCTGCCTGCAAAGCAAATCTCCCAGCTGGGACAATAAATGAAGTGACTGATTTGCCACAGGCAACCTCAAAGTTCCAAGGCACTAGCCCTGCTCCAAACTTCTTGTTGATGTCCTCTACTCCGTGTCCTTGGAACTATGGCAAAGATCCATGTTTTGGGCTAAAAAGGACACAAGCAGTTTGAACTCTGTCCTGTAAACAGCTTTGAAAACCCCAGTGGCTTTCACCACTGGAGTGCCATGGGTCTTTCAGCAATGAGTCAGAGTTTAAAATGACTTTTTTTTTTTACAAAATGATATTGTTTTTCCAACGCCGGGAGTTGAAAAGAAGTGTTCTGCATAATTCAAAATGTATTGCGATTCAGTCCATGGATAGTCCAGAGAATGTGGTCTGGCAAGAAAACAGAGGTTATGTTGTTCTTCCTCCAGGATGTTGCCCGCCCCCCTGTACTGTGCTGTCCAGCCCATTCAGAGCGTCAGAGGGAGTAATTCATGTTTGTTTTTGCAATTAAATAGTGTTTGACATCTCAAAGGATCCCAAAAGTGACTTACCTGTAGGAAGAGGCCCACTCTATCCTCTACTGAAGTGCAGCTCCCGGGTGCAGATAACACCCACTACACAGCAGATCATGTGCAGAAGTGAGAAATTACGTCACCGATTGATTAAAGTGGGAACTTGTGCAAGGACAGGGTGGAATTAAGCCAGAGGTTGACAAGCTATGGACACTTCTTTCAGCACTGTATCATCGGTCTCCATACTGATCCTTGGTTTGGGAATTCTCGCTCGGACCGAAGGCCACCACCTACACTTCCATCAGCAACCCGATTTTGCTTAGATGTCTCCCATTCTAACGCTGACCAGGCCAATGTTGTTTTGATGTGAACAGAAAGTGTTTGTCAGTGTCCGTGTTTTTCAGTTCAGTGAGATGGGTCCACCAATTATAACAGATGCTGCTTCCCTACAGAGCAGTTGTAGGCACCTCCTACACTAGCGACTGGAAGAGAGATTTTCGAACTACTGAAATGTTTTCTGCAAGATGCCATGGATATTGTTTATAAACGCAGAGTGATGAGGAGGGACAGCAGGAGGCCTGATGATAAGATTTCAAGACAAGGCCTGCAGCACAGCCTGCAGTCGCTGTCTAATTTGTGGCTGTGAGAAAAGATTCTCAATCACGTGCTTTCTGTTTCAGTGAAAACCATCAGATTTATACTGTAACGGCCAGTTAATTCAAGCCATTTTGTTGGAATAAAGGGAAGCAAATGGCAAACAGCTGTTACACACAGAGGTTAGCCGCCCAGGGGCAAGGTTCTGGCAAGACTGGGTGAGCTGTGTGAATGTGAGCTAAAGAATTCTTCAAATGATTCACTTCAGGGATAAGATGCAAATGTCATCACTTCTGATGACTGGATAGCAGCTTCATTCACAAAGCTGATCAGCGTTCTTCACAAGCACAGCAGGGATCTGTGTGTCCCTTTCTTGTGCTAGAGGATATTGTGCAACAATGTACTGATCTGCATGTTGATAGCATCCAGGGTGTAATTGCTCAGTGCTCAGCTGGTTGGTGGGAGCAGTTTCATGAAACTTTTCCTGAAGTGAGCACAAATGAAGGTGATCAGTGGATCAGGAATACACTCTCCTTAAGGAGATTCAAAAGCCTTTTTACTCTGCTAAGGGGGCAGACTACAAGACTCTCCCTGCAGGGAGAACTAGGCTATTGTAAAGTGTAATCTGTGCAGCGCTACCAATTTACCAAAACTGACAAAACCAAATGAGGTCTGAAGTTCATGAATGCAACAGCCACTGGTAGAAAACGTGAGACAGTTACCTGAAAAGAGATGTTTCTTCTGTTCTTGAAATACTGAGTTATTGAAAGTCTGTCAGCTCTTAACATGAAAAACAAAGGTTTAACATTGATAGAACCAGGGAGGTTTGGTGAATGACCAAACCATAACAAACCAAACTGTTTGACAGAATGCATATGATGTTGCTGTAAAATGAGTGATTTGTGCCCCAGTTACATCAGCACACGCAGGTACTGAGCGTAAGGAACATTAATGGTTTATTGGGGGTGAAAAGGACTCTGCAAGACCAGTTGCTTTGAAGTTGCTGATCGCTATGGGGTGTTGAACTGGGGAATGCAGCACTGAAGTGACACAGCACACTGCACAATTCCAAATAAGGCTTGAAAACCAAAGGGGACGCTAAATCTAACTACAAACAAAGAGGCTCAGAAGAGGCAGTTTTGCTGTGAGGAGATGACAGCAAACCCAGAGCAGAGGAGAGCCCCAGACATTCTTGTGGAAGGAGGGTCAGGCCAGGGGTCAGGAATGTTCCCACGAAACTCGGCACTCCAGAGAGATTTTCCCATGAAATCATGGTATTTCAGATGATGGGCTTGACTGTTTTATTTATTTTTTGTAACAGGCTCAGGGGGTGACATACCATGATTCCCCACAGGCCTCAAAGCTCCAGTCCATTCTCAGAATGGACTTGCCTGCAAGTTTGCTGGTGCTCACAGCAGTTTCTGTTCCCTGGCTGTTGTAAGTCGGGCGAAAAGGCCGTAAACAGTGCTCTGCCGAGGATGCGATTGCCAATGTTTTGTTTTTCCCTTCGTCTCTCTGGAAATTTACTTTCTTTACTCGTAACTTGTAACATTTTTTAAGTATGCTGCCAGAATAGGTGCTGAAAAGGGATGTTAAAGAACCTGCTTGTCAACAACTGTTCCAAGCTGCCTTTCCTGGCAAGCAACAGGCGCAAGTGGGGGTACACTCTGCAGGGGTAGGCCAGTCCATCACAGGGCACACACAGACACAAGCACTCTCGAACACCCGCACACTCGCACCTGACACGGTTTACCTGCCTGCATGGCTTTGGACAGTGGGAGGAAACTGGAGCACCCATAGGGAACCCACACGAAGACGCGGAGAACATATTCTCATACATGTTTGCCTTGAATCCTAGATATCGGATATCTTTAAGCTTAAATATCACCAGTAAAGACTGTTACTCTGCAGAGGGATAAGAGGTGTAATATTTGACGTGGTACTTCTGGAAGCCATGTGTTTTCTTATGGTTGATCGGAAAACGCATACTACATTTCAGTATTGAGTGAATCAGACTCATGATTCATTCAATACTGAAATGTAGCCATCGGTCAACAGCTGGAGCTGATCAGCTAAGAGCAGCAGTTAGTCTTTATCTTTAAACTCTTCTGAGATGTGATCTCAAAATGTTTTCTTTGAATTTGAGCTGTATGGGGAGGGTGGTGAATTTGAGCTGTGTTACACACAGGAAATTAAGCTTGAAGATTGACCCTGTTTAGCTTGAAATCTCAGTATACAGAATGATAAGAACACAAGGGAGGTTAGAAACCAGAGGCTATTTGCCACTTATTACTTGTTTTGTTGCTGGTGGCAAAATGATCCCAAAACCCTATCAAGCCATTTTTTCAAAGATAATGAAGTGTCTCGTCTTTTTTTCTTTGTACCCTGAGCAACACGAAACTTCATTTCCACTTGTGGAAACACAGCTACAAACAGTTAAGCTACTTTCACAATTACTGGACAGAAAGCAGTGAACAGCAATAGAGTGTGATCATTATAACTTCATAGTGAATATAATACTGACTGTACTAAGGGTCTTGCTGTCTAATCTGTCACACAAATATGACTGTATATATAATATATAGTAATTACAAATTATTATCCTTCTATTTATAAAGGGAACTTGGCTGTTGTAAAGGGAACTTTACAAATAGTTTATAACTGCAGTAGCTTGCTTCCCCTTGACTAGAAATCATGTGTCCAGTGAATATGGGCACTTGAAGCCTGTCCAGCATACAGACTTTTGTGAAAGCTGTTGTCAGGCCCCACTTGGTAGAACAGCTTAATGCTCTGCAACAGAGTCTGTGTTAGCGATATGGTTCTAGATATGCAGTTCTGTGCGTAGCACTGCAGACATTGCCATTTCAAGTAATTTCAATGTAGTGCTCTGCTTCCTTTTCAGAACTTCACAATGAAAATTAGATTTTTTTAACATTAGCCATAACCAAATGAGGTATAGTTTGAATAACAAAGCATAACTAGTTCCACTTCCTTCTGCTACAGGATGTAGTAGGAAATATACAGACAGTACATATAACACAGTGAAGTCAGCATGCAGGCTGTCTTCATCTCTTCTGTGTTGAATGGTAGTCACCCCTAAAGCAGTAAAAGGGAATAAATAGCACTGATCAAATGTAAAACTAGATTGTTGTACTAATTAAGGCAAGTTAGTGACTGTGATCATGCATTGTCAGCAGTTTCAGGAAATGCCCTTCTTTGAATTTTTGTCATTTTGTTTCTCTTTCCACTTCAGAAGAGAATTCCTGTTGGTCTAATTTCTGAAGAGGTGATGCGAGGCCTGGGAAAAGGCTGTTGTGTCGCATCTGGCTTTAATCCACAGAGCCAGTCTATGCTGCAGGTTCAGGGCAAGCTGAGAGAGAGTCAGGAGAGGAGCCTTTAGAGATGGTCTGCTCTGGCCACTTCTGGGTGCAGCTGCCAGGTTTCCCCACATCGCTGTGACAGAGATGATCTTTTCTCTGTGAAAACAGACTCCGAAAGAGTTGTTTATTTTGATACACGTGTCTACTTTTTGCTTTCTTTTATGAAATCTCAGATCAGTTTCTTTTTCAGGAGTACTGTAACTGGTGCTGACCTTCCTAAGTGCAGGTGTGTTTCCATGCACACTGTGTTATTCTGAACAAGAGGAAAAGAGGACATTCCACAGTGCAGTTTTGCACTGTCAAGGTTAATAAATGTGTTCTGTGGTCCTCTCAAAAGCTGCGGTCTTATTTCTGTTTACTCCTGTAGATAAGATGGGGGCATATTATTATGACTGGAAAAATTACCAGTGCACATTGCAACATCATCAGATTGCTGCCATCCCTACAACTATGCTGTCCATTGATTCGGAAGAAGAATCAATTACAGTTCTAGATTGCAACCTTGAAGGCTTTTTTATACCAATACAATTCTGTTTTACCACTTCATAGGGGTATTTGGGTTGTCTCATGGATTATCTGTATTTATGGCTCATTCTTTTGTCATCATGTTACAGTATAGCATCTGAATATAACAAGATCCCCAACTGCCCCGACATGTCTCTGGTAGAAAAAAAGCCCCACAGTCAGTTTGGAGCAGACAGTCCACTAATTCCAGCAGAACTGAAGGCACCTAATGTGTCCCGTTGTCTTTTAAGTTCTGCTGTTTATGGAAAAAGGAGACTCTTGAAAATAGTTTTCAGTGTTTTACTTTACACCTGTACATCATAAAAAGATGGTGTGCCCTGCTTCAAAATCCCTTGCTGGAGAGCAAATTGAAAATGTTCACAAAAAACCGCTATGTGCCGAGAGCATGTACTGTAGACTTCCATCTGCTATGGAAGGTGTTCACAGCTGCTCCTGGACGGTGCAGGAATGGTGTATTTGGGCTGTCCAAGTGAACTGAAGGGCTGGCAGTGAAAACTCACTTTAGACCTGTGACAAAGCGATCAGCAGTGCATGGTCCGCCGACGGTTTTCTTTATTGCATTCTCCTCGCCTGCAGGACTCTGTTATCTTTTTCTTTTTGTTCTTCTTCATGGTGTAATTTGGTGTAGAATGCACATCTTAACAGCAGTTTTACTTTTCTGCTCTTGCGTATCCAACTGGCATTAAAGCGCCCCATTGTGGAGAGTGTACCCCGCTACTGTGTGTAACACAGGCTTTACTGCTGATGGCAGAGGTACAAACATCATCCTCTCCTCAAAGAATAAAAAGAACAGTTGGAGAAATTATGTATTTCTAAAAACAACAATGTACAAATTTGCCTTGAAAACAAGAAAAGGATATGACTTTGTCCTATAAATTCCAAGCAGTGACAAAAAACACATAAATTACTCTGCCATATCCATCACTGGTGCAGCATATGTCCCCTGGCCAGAATACAGCTGGGTTCGATTTGATTTTTTTGTTCATGTGCATTTTTCAAAGTAAGATGGATTTGGTTGTTTGGTTATTGGGACATCAAAAAAGAAGAAAGGAAAAAAAGGATTTCTTTAATTGCATCTCTTGACTTGCTGGCGCATCTGTTATGCAGCCTTTGAGTCTCAGAAGCCAGGCTCCAGATGCTTTGAATTTTTGGGGAGGTTGTAATAGTTTCTTTAAATCAGAATAAGAATAATTTCTGTAGACAAGAGCCTGATGTAAAGAATAGTTTACTACTAAGGGCAGCACAGTTCCTCATTGTAGTCAAATAAACACTGACGCATCTAAGAGACATTATTGAATGCTCACAAAAAATGTTCTGTATTCCTACCATTACATCCCCCTGTTTAAGGAAAAAAGTAAAGGAGATATTTCCAGCAGCAGCTCTTTTTTGTCACAAAGGCTTTTTGGACTGTATTTCAAGATGCACTAACTACTGAACTTCTGCATGTACTTGCAGTACAGTTTTATAATTTATACAACTGAATGCATCTCCATGCACAAGAAGTCCATCAGAAGTCAAAAGCGCATCTAGGAATCATGCCTTAATTTACACAAATGTAAATATATATTTAACTACATCACATCATTCTCAATGGATTACTGTAGATTAAAACGTTCCCTATAACAGGAACTGTCACAGTCTCCAGCAGTTGTATATGAAGCCGGATATAGCTGTCAAAACAATTTGGGTGCCAGACATTTCTCTCAGTTCTTTATCTTGTCATCTCTGAGCCTTGGGCAGTGCACAGCAGTGACACACAGGGCCTAGCTGTTTGATTTATTCCCAGCTCCTGGGGCTTGAGCCAGGCTGATTCTGTGTCTGCGTGAACCAGGAAAATAAAAGGACCAGATCAGTCAGGCTTTAACCTGGGGCCTTTTTGCAGACGGGCTTCAGTGTGCAGCAGCTAGCAGACACGTTCCTGTGTAGCGTGAGCCCTGTCCGGCTTGCTTTAAGAGAAAATTGGGGTTATTAGACCAACCCCCCGCCGGATACTTGTGTTTGTGCAACGGGTTAGGGAGCCAAGGGGGACTTGCTCCACCCAATGGGAGGCACAGGCTTCACTTGAATTTCAAGTTCAAGTAACACGTTGCATCAGTAAAGCTGGTCATTTTTTGGAGCTGGTCAGGATTTCCTCCTCTTGGAGAGTAACAAACAGTAACTCCTGTGGCGTCGTTTCTAAACCTTTGCTCTAGTGCACTGTGCTGAAAGCACAGTAAAGAGGCGTAAAGCATAGCAACTAGAATATAGTGTATCCTGGGGGAAACCAAAGCAAAGCCATAGTATGCAAAATAAAACCGGAGCACGCTTTCAAAAGACCATGTGTGTTTATCAGGGTGATCTTGCATAGGGATTGCTGGTCATCTGTGATGGCTGATGCTTTCATCATTCCTTCCTTTCCATTCTCTATTTCCTCAGGGAGGTCAAAGTGGTTGTTATTCAGTAAGGAGGGTAGGGCATGAGTTCCAAGCCACAGTTACGCAGTGGATCTCCTCATGTACAATTTAGTTCTCCTGCAGAATGATAGCATGTGTTTTTTGGAATTCATCACATGTTTCTAAGTCACAGGGAGAAGTAATGCACAGTGATGGGAATGCCCCTTCTATTTTATTTATTTTTCTAGAATTAGTAAATGTATTTTGCCGTTTCGTGAACCACCCTGGATTTTAAATTAAAAAAAATCTTGCTTTTATGTGCCTTGTCTGCTTCGTCAGGGCTCTTTGTGCTGCAGTCTGCAGCTGTCATACGAAGAGCATTTGTCAAGAGTGAAGATCTGAAATGGATCACAATGCTGTGTAATTCCTGCCACAAAAGCGAGCCATGCCTTGACGCAGAAGTGTGGAAAACTCTGAATTTGTTCTGAATTTCCCTTGCCAGGGGACATAATTGAAGGGCACTAGTTTAGGAGTTCGTCGGTGCAAGTAGAGTTTCAAATTTTCAACTTTGCTCCCAACTTCCACCCTAGGTAGAGCAGTCCAAAGTGTTGATTAAAGAAGGCGGGGTCCAGCTCACCCTGACGATCGTCGACACTCCCGGCTTTGGGGATGCGGTGGACAACAGCAACTGGTGAGTGTGGGAAACACGGTCGACCACATGGGCTGGGATGGGAGACTGAAGTATCCACTGGCCACAAGAGCCGGAGAGCAGTGGACAGGGAGTTTCCTTTGAGCACAGCCCAGTGGATGCTCCGCGAGAGTTCTGGAAATGAAGAGCCTGACACAGAAGTTCCCAGCTCTGATTCCGGAGTCTTTTGGATTTTTCCCCCCAACATAGCTTTTCTTGACAGGACCCCCCCCCCACACACACACACACAACCCACTTTTATCTTGTGAGGATGAAATGTATATCTGTTTTTTTAAATGAAAAAACATTTTCATTGCCCCTGGGGAGGGTGACATATCTATCACTCTGCCTTCCCACAGGATGGAAGACTTGTTTAGAGGCTCCCGCTTCCCACAAGAACGGGTCATTCAAGAAGGAGGGCCCACTGCTGAGAGAGTTGTCCCCTTGTTATAGGTTTCCAGCTGGAGTACAGCCTATCGGCTGTTCATTAGATGTTTGATTGTACCACCACATTGTTGGAAATCGTTTTTGATAAGAATATCGCCAACGTAATCTTGTGCCAGTGTGACTTTAAAACGTGTAAACACTGATAGAAATCTCTGTATTTCAGCTGGCAGCCAGTCATCAACTACATTGACAGCAAGTTTGAAGACTTCCTGAATGCAGAGTCTCGTGTCAACAGGAGGCTTATGCCTGATAACAGGGTGCACTGCTGCCTGTACTTTATCGCCCCCTCTGGCCATGGGTAAGTAATGCAATCTGCATAAGTCTGGGGAGATGAGAAGCAAGCACTTAAAATGCTGTAATGGGAGTCAGTGAAGTTGATGCCAGTGGTCATTTAGAAGAATCTCACTGAATGTCAGGACCCAAGTAGACATACAGTAACTGCAACTTCAAAGCTAATTTCATACTCGTACTGTACTAGAAAACACTTATACATTGTCAATTGTTCGTGCATTGAATTAACTACAGATGCACTTTGTGGAAGCTAGAAATGTAGTCTTGGTGTTGTGATGGAGTCACTAAGTGTATAGGACATTGCCAGGGACCAATAGGCAGATTGACCTTTGCTAATCATTATTATAATCGTATATACATGTTGAGTCGAGCTTTATTTTATTTTTGATACATGTGCATGTTTTTAAATCCATAAATGTGTTGTCTGGAACACAAGCTTTTGTAACAGCAGCACATGCAACACACACAGAAACTAGCTGCCTTGGTCGGTCAGCCGCATCAGTTCAGCACGTTGCTGAAGCGTGTTCGCTATGATATGACATTACTCTGCATGGGGGAAGTCATTTTGCTCAGTGCACTGACAGCTGGAGGACTCTGCAGTCCAGCATTCTGTTTCCAGGAGTGGCAGTTAAGGGTTAATAGAAAAAATAACATTTTCCATTAGGTGGCTAGATCTCCAGAATGTCCCCTTCTGTTCCTGAGGCAGAGACTGTTGTGACCTAAGATATTTCCTTTGTAAAAGCTTTTGAGTATTTGGTCCTTCAGAACTGGGCTTATCCAACTTTTCTATACCTTAGTTCTTGTCGCATTTTTTTGCATTTTTTTCACTTTTCTGTCTGATCTTCTTCCTTTTACCTGTACGCATTTCTTTGCCACAATCGGTATTTTGCATCACAGACTTCAAAGCACAGAGGTCTGTGGCCTGTCATCATCTGGGCAGCTGGGTAAGAAGCAGTTACCGTTTTGTTTTGTTCTTTGGCAACGAACATCTGCCCATATAATGACAAGGCCAGAAGATGTTTCACTCTGGAGGGCTTGCTTGAGAGAAATTCGGAAACTTGCTGGCAGGGACGTGCATTCGCAGCTGTGGAATGAATTCGAGGCCAAAAAAGTACATTCGAAGGCCACGGAATCAGGAGAACCCAATTAATCACCCAGATTCTAGTTAATCAAATCAACTGGAAAAACAGAGTCTCTGAGAAGCTTTCGCAAAACATTGTGAGAGAAGGCCCCTGGGGAGGAACATAGGTGTCACACAGTGCTCTGAAGCCCATTAGCAAAGCATTACAGATTTAACCTGGAACTCTCCATAGGGTTTCCTCTTTCATGCAGTTCCCAGATGTCTGCTTCAGCAGAGCTGCAGCAGTGAGTAAGGAGGACAAGAAACCAGAAACAAATGATTACCATAAACATTTAGAGCGTGCACATGGGACATGTTTTATTTTTCACTCGGCTGAAAGCCTTTTTTTTTCCCCCCAGTCCTGTTCCTGCAGCTCTTCCAGCTCCTTTTCATTCCAGCTCTGTTCCCACTTAACTGAAGTCACAGTTCAAAGCTAAGGCTTGGTTTACTTGCAGCTCCAGTAAGACTGATGGCACAGAATTTAGAAATCGGGTACCTTGAAGTAATGGAAGATACCTTAACATGCCTAATTCAGCAGGAATAACAAAACAATATGTTCATTGTGCTAGGGAACTAAAGGAACTTTGTTATTTTTATACTACTGGAGTGATACCGCCCATCTTTATAAATAGGAAGCCATCACAATTACCATTTGGACTTCACAAATTAGACTTAATTTTTGTGTGTTCAGGCCAAAAGAAATCAAACAGCTTTTTGCTCAGACGTTTCAGCTCCACTCCACTGGTGCTGCTGGTCTCACGTTTGACTCCCACAGCATCAAGTTATCATTAATGTAGATCAGAATATGTCATGTGTATAATAAAGTATATGTGAACTATTTTCTTTGATCTGCTGGAATGTAGCCCTTTCCTCCAAGTCTGAAAATGTATTTCTATCTGTTATAACCTGAATTAAATATTTGTAACTTAGCTATACTGTAGGTATATGTCTATGTATATGTCTATGTATAATGTTCAGTTAAGTGAGATAGTGAGAAACAGTCGGTTATTGCAGAAATTCAGTTCTCTGTTCGGTTCTTAGTAATGCTTTAGAAGTCCTACTTAATGGGAAAGTGGCGTAAAAATACGTCATCCAAATGTTCTTCAGGGTATTGACTCACACTGTTATATAATGCCTCCGCGCTTCACCGGCTCTCAGTTTGCTTGATTTCCTATTACAATGCGGCTCTCACTAAATGAAGCTAGACCGGCAGCCAACTTGACAACACACTCGTAGTACATTGGGTGTAGGCTGCCAACTTGAAAGATGTTGGACTGAAAGTTGGAACGTGGTATTGGTAGACCAGTGGGTGGTGCTCCTTCACCTGGACTTACAATTTCACCCAGTGTGGGGATAGGCATCATCGAGCTGTAGGGAACGCGGTCCTTTGGATGAGATGTTAAAGTGAGATTGTAACTCCCAGGTTATTGAGGATCAATGGTTGCTGTTAAATGGAGTTTTTAATGAAAGTTCGGGAGGAATGAAGGCAGTCGAGCTCATTCTACACAGCTGCTGCAATTCTCACTAATTCTGACGTAAGCAACCAGTCTCCATATCAGACGTCACCCTCTTCTCTTCCTTGTTCGTTTTCTGCATCCCTCCTCCACCCCCTCTCCACCTTTGCAGCTATTTAATTGGTGGCATGGGGTCCTATCCTCCCCGTCCAATGCCCGGGAGGTTGGCCCTCAGCCAAGCGGGTTACGCCAAATCTCCACATCCCAATAAACGATTCTAATTTCTCCCAAGCTTTTGGCTTCTGTCATTCCTCGTGAATTAGGCTGAGGATGCTAATCCCACTGGTTAAAAAGCCCAAGTAAGGCTTTCTTAGTCTTGCCTACGTGAACCCCCTCCTCTACCTTCAGCTCTTACAGTAATTTCCCATTCTCCACCTGGTCTGCTGTACAGTAAGCTAGTGGCACAGAATGCCTGCCACACGCTACTCTGGTGAGCTCTACTCTTCAAAGGTGGAAGAAGAGAATCTTCTCCCATATGCATAGTGCTTTAAGATCCTACTGCATAATAAGCATCATACAGTTCTAAAGGATTATATTATTTTTGGGATCCATTACTTATTTACTTATTGAAATGAATTTTTAAGGAAGGAACAAACAAATCCTAACAGCTCTCAAGCACTGAATTTCTGGCACTCCTGGCATTTTTCTACGCGTAGCTGGAGCTTAGCATGCCACAGGAGTACATCCTTTCCTCACCAGGCCTATATTTCTCTCCTGCGGTGACAGCGGCCCGTGCCTCTCTCTTTGTGGCTTGCATTCCTCAAATACTTTGGTGGCTTGGCTTGCTCTCCCCAAGGCCAGGCCAAGGGAAGCTCCTCGCACTCTGAACGGGGGAAATAACGGGTTCTTTGTACATATGGGGCTGGAGGGGGAAAAAAAAAGAAAAAATACGTGAGAAAGAGAGATCACGAACAGAACGGGGTCCTTTTTCTAGTCGCTGGAAGGATGCCCGGGGCTCAGGACTCAAGGCTGGAAGTTTGCTGCTTTTAACATCTGTTTGTTCAGCGCAGTGGCCAAGGCAGCGTAACCACAACACCCTCCCTTTTAGGAAACAGATGATTCTCTTGGAGTGTTTGGAGTGAAAAATAGCACACCAGTTTTTTTTTTTTCTGAGGCAAACAAGTTTGTCTTTCAATGATGAAGACTGCCGTCCCCACCCTCAGTGGGTTCCCAATGTCTGCTGCCCTCTCTCTGCAGATTCTGTTCCAAATGATTTATGCTGCCATGCTCAGCTCATCAGCTTTTTGTCTTTAAGTTGGCTTGCCAATATGTAAGTTGTTTCAGCAAGCGCCTGTTGTTTCTGAGCAGCGTTTATCAGATCTGTGAAGAACACAGCTGTTACAGCATGAATTTATTTGACGTGAGCCTTATTTAGATTTGACTTTGAGTTGAAACTGTGGAAAAACATCAAAGAGCATGTTTTTATCACCCCACTACCCAACTGTATCAGAAGTTGCTAAACTGCTAAATTTCACAGGAACTCATTGGTTAGTATGCATACAAAGTATTTTCAGATCAAATGTGAAGTTTGAGGATGTAATAGCCACAGGAGGTGGACTGATATACACACTGCCTGATTATTTGATGAGTTAATGCAAATAGTGCTTTTCTCTGTCAAAAGTTGCTCTCCTTTTCCTCAGGCCTTTAAACCCCGGTGATACTTTGTACATTCTCCCAGATAACAGATCTTATGTTGGCTTGTTTCCATCACCAAAATACAAGTGAGAGAGGTTGTCCTTCGATTGGAGGACCTTTACAGCAGATCTACTGCACATTTGGTTATTTTCTCAGGAGAACATAAGTCCAAGAGGTCAAAATTAAAAAAAAGCAATGTGTCAAAGTTGTATGACTGCGGAATTTGAAATGATCCACCCACTCATTTTCAGTACTCATCTTCATACTCAGCAGCATAATGTTTGAGTGCACATCGGAAGTTATGGTGAAAGGATGCACGAAGGACAGCACTGTCCACACACAGCAGGCACTCCAGGTCCTTGGCCCCCACAAAACTATTCTTCAACTGCTCCTTGAAAAACAAGAGGAGTGGAGACGAGATACACCCTTGAGAGGTCCAGAGCACACCTTGAATGTACTCATCTCAATGCCAAGAATGCAGACACAGTTTTCACTCAAAGTACAGAGGAACTGGACAGGACACAGAAACTGTGCTTACTAAACCTCCCACAAGACATCTAGAGGAACATGGTCAGGCGCCTTCCTCAGGTCTGCAAAAAAGCGATAGATTGGCAAACTTCCACAACTAGGGACAAAATCCAAGTTTCAACTAACAGGTGGAATCTACTTTTCCATACTATGGCAAAGAGGAACGTAACGTTTTTATGAATAGAATATCCTTGAAGTTTTTCCCTCAGTCACTACCAGATGCTTAGCTTCTGTCGGTCTTGACCGCAGTGTGGAAATCCTTCAGGAGTCCGTAGTCATGGTCTCTCCTTTGAGAGAGGATTCCCTCAGCCTTGTTCACAGCACATCTTCCTCGGACCCAAATTTACCTCCCTTTTACAAAGACAGCAGAAAAACGTGCTCCTGCTGTTACAAAATCAGACCTAAACATGTAAATGGCCTTGAGGCACGGTAGAATGAGTATTCTGAAAGAATCATGTGCCATTTTATGACTTCATTATTTTGTTGTCAGAGATGGGAAAACAGGTGTAAACTTGTGTCTTGTAACTTGTAAGTATCCATACCGATTACTCTTCAGTAAGGCTTGTAGTGTAAGTTGCTGCTGTACTGATCCTCAGTGGTTTGTAGACTGTACAGTGGCTCTTCTGCTAGTATCCATGGCGATAACACACTTGTACTATCCTTCTTGAAAACTTAATCTCAATTGTCAAATTTAAGCAACGTTTTCCAGCACGACACTGCTTTATTACATTATTACATCACCATTTTGATGGTGGCTGTAAAATGTCTTCTCCCCCCTTGTCTCCCCGTGTCCTGCTCTCTAAACGCCTCCTGCTTCTTCTCTTTAATAGGCTCAAGCCCCTGGACATCGAGTTCATGAAGAGACTTCACGACAAAGTGAATGTCATCCCTCTCATCGCCAAGGCAGACACCCTTACCCCTGAGGAGTGCCAGCTCTTCAAGAAACAGGTGTGCTGCTGGCAGCCACTCAGTCTGTGGGCTGTTTTTTTCTGTATTTTTGTGTGGGTGTGTTTGAATGTTTGTAACATGGGAATGACTCTTTTCCAGACGAGTAGGTTTTATTTGTGCTTCATATGCATCTGGGTCAGTGTAGCCAAAAGCTATCACGTCCTCACTAATTAAGTGAAGCATTTCTGAAATGGGCAGCGTTGTCAAGCGTGCTCCTAATTCAGTGCTTGTAGTAGTCCATGACCATTTTTAGTATCCTAATGTACCATAAATAACAAGGGTCGTAATGGGCGTTAACACTTATCCTTAGGCTTTGGCCCTCTGTTTTCACATTGGGCCTGTCCAAGTCATTTTGTTTTAAGGAAATTCTATTTTAGTTGACCATTCGCCATTGCATTACTTTAGTTCAACCAGCTCCTGGGTAATTGTACTGAACCTGCAAATGATCATTTAATGAAAGTTGGAGCTGTTTTTTGCAGAATTGATTGGAAACAAGAATGGATTGGAAGGGTTAAGTAGCGCTGATGTACACATCATTATTAAAGTTAACTGTGGTATACCATGGTAAAAGTATTATAAGATATAGTAAAGCACATTGGAATTGAAGATCATAACGAAGAATAAGCAGGTATGAATCAGCATGATGCTGACCATGGGTGATGGTAAAGTCATGAACTATTGGGATTAAACCCACAGCAGGATAACAAATACTAGGAGGCTTCTACTATTCAGTAATGGGTTGACTGACGAATTTCTTTACCATTCTGAAAGGAGACGTTTATTTTTGGGGCTCCTGTTTTTTGATGAACTGCTGGCAGGCATCAGTAGGGTGAATTTCAGAGCTCCTATGTGTGTGAAAGGAAATCAGCCTCCCCGATCTCTGCTGCAATTTCTCATCTCGCTGGAGAGCATACATTGTGTGTTTCAATATTGCATCTTCTTGCTCCATTATATTTTACAGCAGCTCTGTGGTTTCATTCCAGCTGTTTGCCAAATGCTGTGGGCACGTAAACTAATTATGGAGGTGCCACCCTGCTGGTGTGACTCAGCGCTGGCACTGCATGGCTGGGGGTGGGCAGGTAGAGAGCTGCTGATCACTAAATTGCCTTGCTTTTGAGAAGGTATTTAAGGACAGAGGGAAAGTGAGCATTGGTGATTCTTACTTTAACCAGGTGGAAATACACCCATCAGCCTACCAGATAGTCAGATGAGGTTAAGGCAAGGCAGGTTAAGGCAAGCATTCGTGCTGCAGCAGAGGACTGATTCCAAGGTGATTTTTCACCAGTGTTACTGCATCCAACTGATTGATTCCTGTTTGCCCTTTAATCACTCAGATCATGAAGGAAATCCAAGAACACAAAATCAAGATCTATGAGTTCCCCGACACAGAGGACGATGAAGACAGCAAGCTGATCCGGAAGATCAAGGTAGTGCCCACGACCCAGGCTGACGCTGGCATGCTGTGGGACTGTGGGACCAGGGGGGTTTCCAGGTGTAGATAACAATTTTTGGAAATTGAACATTGGACTAAATAACCCCAATTCTAACAAGAACTAAATCTTTTGACCATATAACTCTTTTGTGAAATGGAAAGAAATGTAAATTAATAGCATCAAAGGGAAATGCTGTTCTTGCTGAATCCTGTGCTCTGGGAGACTGGCTTGAACACCCTAAAATATATTTATAAAACCTATACTACAAAGTGAGTCTTGGGTCATCTCACTGGAATGTGAGATGGACTTTTCTAGTGCCCAAAAGAATGCATTGTAGCCATCTTCTTTCATTAGTTTTCCTTCACAGATGTGTTTTCTTTCAATGTATTGAAGTTAACACAGCAGATTTGCTTTTATTAACATGGAGTCAGAAATCCAAGAAAACTAGCAACTCAAAACATAGCTTTTGTATGTTCATTTTTATTTTATAAGCTGCTAGGAAAACAGCATAAAATAAATATTTTAACAGGTGCTAATAAGAGTACAAACTAAACCCGTTTTAAAGGTGTCTCCTGTCTTGGCATTCTTTGTGGACATATCCAGTAAACATTCAGACTTAACTGTGCTTGTCCCCCTCACAGTAAGACCTGTTATAAGTGTTGTAATTGCTGATGCAGTAGGATGTAAAATTTTCCAAGCCTTTTACATCTGATTACATAAGAAGTGCACTACATTTCAGTTACAGTGCTTACACATCTTATGGCCTGGGGAGAGGTATTAAATTTGCCTGCTCTTTCTTCTAATTAGAACAGTTAATTAAAGTAGTGATCAGCTGCATAGCTAGAAAACACTGCGACCTGTTAGGAGGCTCGGGTAGGCAGTCTGACTGTAGAGGATCATTACATGGCCAGAGAGCAATTAAAACAAAATGGTGTCATAAAACAGTTGATATCCTGTAGTGTTTTGAAGGGTAGAAGGAGAACGTTAGTGGGAATGGTGGCCTGGTGCATTTTTTCATTTTTCTCAGTGTCAGCTGGGGTTGGTCACCCCTGAAGTGAATGTAATTTTCTTTCCAACAAAAGCAGCCTGATTAGTTTGTATCTCCAGGGAACCAGAGCATTGACAGAGAAGCAGTGTTTGGCTGCCAGAGTTTGGCTTCAGTGCTCTGAAATTATGTCAGCGTCAGGCTCCCAGACTAGGCTTCTATAAGCCTATTTCACAAAGTGTGAGTTTAATTAAGATGCTTGTCTAATTTAGCTCTCGCTTTCCCTTTGCTTCGCAAGCAGTACCTGCATGTTATATTCTATCAGCTTGACTTTGATTTCTGGTCCTGGTCCTATCAGTACACTGCCGGTCCCAAAGGCACCATCTGTCTGCTGATCTGTGTCTTTGTACAGGGTGATGTTAGATGCAGTCACACGCAGAAGTTTGCACACCCTTTCCTGGACATGGGGGAATTTGCCAGCTTGTGCTTACGTCTCCTGTGCGGTGATACCTGATCACGTTTTCGTATTTGACAAGCGATAGATATACAGGCTTGATTAGATGCTACTAGTTAAAATCTGATTTTAGGAAATCTGAAGGATGATTTTAGGGACAAAGCCAGGAAAGGTTTTAAGGAGCAGTGGCTTTACCTGTCCTTCGATCAGATCTAAACCCGTGTGGCTCACTGACGTCCTCTAGTGGCTGTTTTCAGAATAGCCATTGACAGTTTTTCAGCATAAAATGTAATTCATAGCGTTGGGCTTTCCTGCTTAGTATTTTGTTACTTGACATGATTCCTGGTAAAAGTATTTTAAATGTACTCCTAGAGGCATTTTGGAATCGGCATATTTGAAATCAAATTTACATTTCCAAAGAGACAGCAGATAATTTTCACAATAGTTAACAGAACTATGTTAGCAGATTTATGTATGGAAAGCCTTGTTAGTTCTACTGGTAGAAGTCCTGCGATTTATGTCACACCTGAGGAAAGTTCATCTGCGCCAGCCTGCAGTATTCACAGCTACTCAATTACTGATCTGCATTGTAGTGGAGCTGCTGTTACATCACCCAGGAGATGACTCACCTTCCATGCCAGCAAATCAGATCCACACTAACTTCAATACCTACAGTTCTGTTTTGCTAAATCTAGCAGTGTGTTTTCTAATTTGGTTTCCTCGTAGGATCCTGAGCTTCACAGACTAAGGAAAATGTATACACCACTCTACAGAGCATAGCTGCACAGAGCATATTTAATAGAGCAGCTCTGTTGGAGGTCTTGGACATGCAGGGCAGGATGAGGATAAACAGCTGTTTATTTGCAAACTGTGCCGGCATTTCCACAGCTACAATGTGGACAGATTGATTGACTTGGGTTTCATTCCCTTCCTCAGGAGAAGATGCCCCTCGCCGTAGTGGGCAGCAACGTGGTCATCGAGGTCAATGGGCGGAAGGTCAGAGGTCGCCAGTATCCCTGGGGTGTAGCAGAAGGTACGTGATGGGGTGTCATGTGGTCGCAGTGTGGTCGGTGGTGATGATGATGATGATGATTATCTCTAGCCACTCTATTCTTATATGGATTTATTTTGAGCTGCAAAAAGAGCTCCTGGTCTCTACCATCACATAGGCATGTGGGACTTTATTTCACTCACAAAATACAACATTTAAAGCTTCAGTGTGTCTAAGACCTGGGAACAACTTGAAGTTCAAATCTGTAATCTTGTGTTCATTAAGGCAGTGAAGGCTTTGATTGTGACACTGAGGGCTCAGCTGGAGTAAAAATCAACAGGAGTGTGGATCACCTGGACTAGAACACACAGACTACAGACTTCACAGACACACCTCCCCACTGCATTTCTTTTCAATGGGCCTTTGTGCCAGAACGCCAAGTCATTGTCTCATTGTCCCAATAAGCAAAGTTCAGCAGAATTTCTTATGTTTTTGCAACAATGTGTCAGAATCTAAAAATCTGCAAAATTCAAAAGGAATATTTAACTGGGGGCCTTTTAATAATATGTATTTCATTTTATGGTCTGCCTTACCAATCTGTAAACATACACACCTCCCCTCATTAAACCATTGCTAATTCTGTTGAAATTGATAATGTGTGTTCATATAAGGGAAATGTGCTTGTCACAAAAAAGCTCTCGTTGGTGCTAGAATTCATTTAAAAATCAGCATATCCTATTTGTTCACAATTTTCCAATAAATCAGTAATGCAGTCTCGTGTGGCAGGATTAATCACAGTCCGTCTTTAATACATCATTTCAGAATGTACAGTTCATCAGAACATCCCCCCCTTGTTCAGTTTCTCCTCAGCTGTGCACTTCTGTGGTAAGGCCATAAGGAATGCTGGATTGCTGGCTTAAAGTAGGTTCCATTAGTCGGTTTGTCCAAATGACTTTTCCTGAAATTCATCACTGTTTTGTGGAGAAATATTTAAAATATATGTGGATGCAGCGGAGTGGGTACTTTTATACAGTCTTAAAACATCCACTTGGGAGCAAAGCTAAGATACAACAGACTAGGTATGTAAAAAAAAAGAAAAGGCTTTTTCTTTCTAGAGACCTCGTTTACTGCTTTTCTACTATTATGTGCAAGCTGAGTGAAAATAAGAGTAGTATCTCTGTCTGATTACCATCTGTTTTTGGTTCTACTTGAGTTGCTCTGCTGTGGACTCAACTTTTACTCTGAACTGTCACTAGCATTAATTTAGCAGTTCTAGGCTTGGGATTCATAACTGAAAGTGATTCTGCTGTTTCTTGTTTTTATCCTGTTGGTTCTTGATGGTGAACATTGCTAATCTGGAAGTAACATTAAGAATAGAGGAATTAGAAACTATACGCTTCTTCATATGGTTTAAAGTACCCAGCTGTTGCCATTGTGTTTTTTTCTATGTCCCTGGTTCCAAGCAGTATGACAGAGGGATTTGGAAAAGAGGAGCTATATTGTTTTAGGCATAATAGTCTATTTAGTTTTTACTTCATGTGGTAAAACAGCTCAGTCTTGCTTTTGTTTTGTTTCCTTCTTTGTTCTTGTGTGTTGACACACATTTCTCAGTCTTTCACTTTTTCATTTTCTTGTGTCTTTTCTTTTTCATGACTGACAGAGGGCATTTTTGGTAAATCAACATCTCTTGTGTTTCTCTACCCACCTGTCTCCCCAGTTTTTTCCTTTATTTTGAAATCGCATGTTTCCCCCTTGCTAGTTTATTCCAACGCTGACACACACCTACTCTTCACCACTGTCAGTTTTCCTGCACCCCAGGTCTCCCGAGTCACTGTCCTCTTTTACCTCATGAGCAACATGGCAGGTTCATTCATTCTGGGTTTTCAGAGTTGAGGTGTCTACAGTTTACAAGTGAAGCCCAGAGGAGAATATTTATCATTTAAAAAAAACACAGTTGAAAGTAACACAGTAGCATCACAGCTGCCTCACAACTTCAGGATTCTGCGGTTGACTTTAGCCTCTGTCTGTGGGGTTTGTATGTTCTCCCCCATTCTTCTGAGTGCACTGGTTTCCTCCTTCCTCCTAAATAAATGCTGGCCAAGTTTGATGATATGTTCTAAATTGTCCGTTTCTCTCTGGTCCAGGAGGACTGTTCTCTCAACTCTGAGGTGTGCTCTGCGCCCAGAACAGGTTCCAGCCTGCCTTGATCCCCTCCAGAATAATTTAGAAATCACTGAGGGGAAAAACATTCTCACGCCCTTTGGTGTACTGTATGGATGAACCCTGCGCCTGGAGAACCCACGTGGCTTTCGTTCCAGCTCAGTGACTAATGAACCATTTTATTAACCTTCTAGTTTCATCACTCGGAACAATTCGATTGTTCAGTTGTTGCTAGTTCCTCCATAGCTGAACGCTTCACACTTCAAGGTAGCATATTGTTTCAGACACAACTACAGATATCTTAGAATATTATTGAATCAGGGCAGTGTGGTGGCCTAGAGGTTAGCATTGTTGCCTCATAGCACTGGTGCCCTGAGTTCTGTTGCAGGAGTGCTGTCTGCATGGAATCTGCGTGTTCTCCCCATGTCTGTGTGGGTTTCCTCCAGGTGCTCCAATTTCCTCCCACTGTGCAAAGACGTGGCCCTGGTATGAATGTGTGTCTGTGTCTGCCCTGTGATGGCATGCCTACCAGGGTGTGCCCTGCCTTGCACCCATTGCTTGCATAGGCTCCACAACCCTGAACTGGATGAAGTAATTAGAAAATGGATGGATGCTTTATTGATTCAGGTCACGTTTCACTTAATTACCAGTGGGTTTAGCTACAATCACATGTGCCAACACAGTGCTTTGCAGAATTAGGAAAGTGATCTCTGTCCCAGATCACTGCACTGTTACAGCAAAGTATGTTCCAACAAGCAGTCCTGATTGCACACTGGTGTGATTCCTCTATTCACGACTGGGAAATTCCGCGATGTTCAAAACCAGCGTTGCCTTCTGGATGATGAGAGATTTGTGTACCTAGCCATTCAGTTTAATTCAGTGCACTTCCCCTGGCAAATCTGCAGTTGTGTTGTTTGGTTACTTAGATTTTTGGGAAATATTTGTTTCTGTTTTATTATTTAATGAATTGACTCATTTCCTATTCTTAATGTGTGTATGCATTAAAAAAGTAACACATGACATAGTCTGAAGCTGGAACTAGGGTGGTTTAAGAGTGAGGGGGAGTACAGAGTACAGAGTAATCATCAGGCCATGGGGCTTGAACCCTACTAGCTGGTGCGATTTAGTTTACAGCTGTATCTCAGAAGAAAAATGACTGCTCCCTGCTACAGAGCTCTGATCTGCAATTAAAGTAGGACTGCGTTTCTTTCATGATATCATGTTACAAAGGTTGTTTACACCCCTGCCTGTGAAAACTCCCATCGGCCCAGTGAACATACTGTAGTGTGATTTTGTGAAGCACAAGAACAACAGAAGATGTCTTCCTACAGTAACTTTGATATTGAAAAGCAGAAAAAGAGAAATGCTGTTTTGAAAGTCTTCAGCTGGGGAAGGGTGTTATTTCGTCTAGCTTTACTGTTTCTCGTTTCTTCTTTCAGTTGAGCAAAAGTAGTTAGTTTGTTCTGCTCTTTGTGTCTATAGCCAGTAGTATTTTTGTCCCTGGTATAATTTCTTACCATCTGTAATTGAGGTAGTCACTGTGCTTCCATGACTATTGTATTGTTTCCATAGAGATCAAGTTCTTCATTTCTAAAAAAACAGCATTGCTGCAATTTTTAAATGTGATGCTAGAATCCATCAGATTTTTTTTTAATTGCAACACTTATATAGGAAATTATCAGGCTTTGGAAAGGGTGTGAAATACATAATACAGCACGATCCATGACCGGCCCTCCGAGAGCTCGGATGAGGCCTGAGGCCCAGGCCATTTCACATTGTGAGGCCCCCTCGTTGATTGGGAAGAGGGGTAAAAATGTTTTAATGTAAAGATGGAAACAATGGAAACATTATGGTGGGCATTTTGAAACTCCTAAAGAATGGTAGATTCAGCACTGAAAGGGGGAAGTTTTTTCACAGCTGTGGACTTTAGTCGAGAATCACAGTATGTGGTAAGAGTTCCAAATTCGAGTCAAGTGGAAAAACAGCCAAAGGGTTAAAGTGGAGGACCATGCACCCTTGGCTGAGGTGAGCCCCCCCTGTGAGGTGAGGCCCGGGCCAAATGGCCCTGCTGCCCCCCCCCACTCTCGTAGGGGCTGATCCATGAAACTTCAGGGCTCCCAGTTTTCTCACCAAGTCTTTTATTTCTTAGGCTTTAAGTAACGTTTAGAGAGCCTGCTAAGCCATGGCTCTCATAGGCTACCGTTGGCATAAACAGTCAAAATTAACTTGTTACACGTTCATTATTTTCTGGTTACCTGTTTGAGATGCTGGATGGAGGCTCGGGAATTAGATTGAATGATATTTGCAGAAGATCATAAAAGATGCATGCAAAGTCAGATCATTTGTATAACCGGAACAGTCTGTGGTTTAAATAGTTAAAACAGCTTTATGTGACAAAATAAAACAACTTTGTACCATGTAACAGACATTGAAATTTCTGTGCTCTTTTTATTGAAAAGTGGATTGGGTGCATTGTAGGTCACCTGCAGAAAAACTAACTTTGTGTAAAACCGAATATGGTGATTCTTCTCTGAGCTTTTAATGTGAAACTGTCTGAATGCAACCTGCGTTTTCCAAGTATACTATTCAGGAATCCCAGTTGCTCTTTTCCTGTTATTTTTCTGTGTCCTTTTGATTAGTGTATGAGTCGATTCCATCTTAACTTGTAACCTGTTTCTGTATCTTTTAGTCGAGAATGGAGAACACTGTGACTTCACAATTCTCCGCAACATGCTGATCAGGTGAGATTATTTGATTTCTAGTGCAAAACGACTATGTCCCTTTAACACCTAAAGTCACTGTGCTTACCCTATAAAACAATATTATGCCTTTAATGTTATGTTTCAGATGTTGGTTTATTTACTTTATTCCTTCGACAAAGTACTATGTTCTGTTCTCTTCAATCCACGATCCAGATTGTTTCCACTGAGTAATGTCTGTGAAATAATTTGTGTCATTAATACCATGTCCTGGTTAGTCACAGTACATCTCTGAAATCTCTTGTTTTCACTGGGGCAGTGCATATTTGATGCACTGTTGTTGATGCCTATATAAGTCTTCCTTCTTCATAAGTTATACAGAATTACACACCAGATCCCCATTTTTGCAATTAAATGCCACTTCATGTTTTGACTGTTTGCTTCATATATCAGTGTGATTTTGTGTTTGTGTTATTGTCAGTATCATAACAGCAAGCCTAGTTTTATTTTATTATCTACCCTGTATATGCTTAATTTATCATGACAGCAGTCTCTTCCTGTGTGTGATCAACTCACCACAGACAGTGGCTTTGTTCACATTTATCTTTCATGTCTTGCTTTTACAACCTTGAATGATGCTGATGTTCTGTACGTTTCACATTTACTTGCATCATTAGCAGATACTGCAGTATTTCAGTATTATCAATCAAAATTGCTCCATACAACTTCATATGTATATGTAGAGTCATCAGTTTGTTGCCGCTTTACTGATGTCTATATGTGCTGTTGTCTTCCTCTGCCTTTCTGCTTCCCTGTCTACGTCTGCATTTCTCTCCAGAACTCACATGCAGGACCTGAAGGATGTGACGAACAATGTGCACTATGAGAACTACCGCAGCAAGAAGCTGGCTGCTGTCACCTGCAATGGAGTGGATGCCACCAAGACCAAGGGCCAGCTCACCAAGTAAGACTGGAGCTATTTACCTTGCACTGGCCACTGCCATGGAAAGCCAGTGAAACACTGGGACGCACCCTAGAGGGCATTTCCAAAGCTATGCAATGTCACCGCGTGACGAGCCCCTCCTGTAGACGCAGCCCTGGCTTAGTCAAGGGGAGTAACATCGTTTAGGATCTGAAACAAGTTAAGCGGAACTGCAGTCCCAGTTTCTCAGAGCGGTTACTAAATCTCAGTAACAAAATAAACGGTATTCCAAAATGTTACAAATTACAAATCAAACACAAAATCACGAACTTTATTAAAATCCTGTATGGTCTTTATTTTGTCTCAAACTACTGGTCTCGCCACAAGTGAGAGCACGAGTTCGCGCAAATTGTAAGGTGAAGCGGCCCTTCCTGCTCACTAGTCACTGTGATGTACGAGTGAAGTACAAGTTGATCGGCACAACAGTTCCAACTTTACCCGTATGCAGAGTTAACAAGTATGTATTATTGGATGGCAGAGCCGGTTCGAAATCTAGAGCAGTATTTTCTATTGGATCAAAAGAGAGGTATTCACAAGCCTGCTTGCTTACAATGTAAGGTGGCCCCTTCATGTTACTGGAAGTTGCATTGCCTTGTTCTGAATCACAGAACATGGAGTTGCACCTACCTGGGAATTTCATCCATTTCGTGATGTCAATTGGAGGTTTAACACGTTACTGTGTGCATTTTACTTTTCTTACGGTTTGAAATGCCCTCGTCACTGCTGATTCTTTCTAACCCCGACATATAAAAATAGTGTTGCAGTCCCCCTTTAAGAGCAGCGGTGAATGGCGAGAGCAGGGTGTGACTGGGCTGCCTTGCTCCCCCCCCCCCCTTTCCCAGGAGCCCCCTGGCCCAGATGGAGGAGGAGCGGCGGGAGCATGTGGCCAAAATGAAGAAGATGGAGACGGAGATGGAGCAGGTCTTTGAGATGAAGGTCAAAGAAAAGAAGCAGAAACTGAAGGATTCGGAGGCGGAGGTAACTGAAGTCGAAGCAGGTTGATCACACTGAAAGACCGGAACCACGTTTTGGCACATAGACCCCCCCCACAATTTAACCCTGGTTTGGGTAGAAAAATACTTGCTATCATCTGTACACAATCTCAGGGCCTTTCATGCAGGTGCAGCGTGCCTGTCTCTCTAGCTAGGCAATGGGCAGCAGCTGTATGAATGGCTCCAGGGCTAGGCGAGACTGGGTTTCCTTCTGCATTGCCCCCATTTTGGAGGAAAGCCAGGGGACAACACTCCTGACCCTCCGTGTGACCTGCTGCTGTGCCTCTTCCTCAGCTGGAGCGGCGCCACGAGCAGATGAAGAAGAACCTGGAGGCGCAGTACAAGGAGCTGGAGGAGAAGCGCCGGCAGTTCGAGGAGGAGAAGGCTAACTGGGAGGCCCAGCAGCGCATCCTGGAGCAGCAGAAGCTCGACGCCTCCAAGTGAGAGCCGACGGCGTCTGTCTTGCATTCTGGCGCGGGCCCGATGAAACGCACAACTGATACAGCCCACCACCAAATCACACATTACAGACCTGGTTGCTGGGGGCCTCTAAAAAGTACAACCCAGCCGTCAAGTAGCGAATGGGGAGATCCTGTCGACTTCGGGTGCATTTAATTGAAGACGCGGTCCCCCTTTCAGCCCCTATTGCAGTTTTACAATTTATACTTGACTGCTCTAATAGTAAAACTGAAATGTCATTTTCAATTCCCGATGCCTAATTTTACACATACCCACCAATTAATGTTACTGGTTAATTACAGTTGAGTTAAATACATCTTCTGAATTGCAAAAAACATACTTGTTACTTGACACATTAGCTACTGAATATAGCATAGCTGGAAGTGAAAGTGTAACAGAAGACAATAGCACTGTACTGCAATGACAAAAGTGATTTCAGATTCTAATTCTGCTGTAAATGTAATTCTTTACATTTTAAATTTGACCCTCTCAGCCTGATCAACCCCTGGCAAACATCTTTGTAGTCTTAAAGAGGGTTTACACTTGGTGATTATTATGAGCAATTATCTCTATCTATATTCTGTTGCTGTTTTCCTAAATGCAACTTGCCACTTTCTTGCTGGCAATCTGATAGCAATCCAGTCCCTTTGAAAAGAGAGACTTTGAAAAGTAGGTTGATTTGTTCTATTGGCCTCCTGAAAACAGATGAGGGCTGTAAATAATGGAGATAATATTAATAGGTAATCAAAGTCTACAACTTCTTTGACCATCAAGAAAGAGGTCATTTTGCCTGATTGATATCTCATTCCCATAGTCCTCTAAGTAAGAAAGCTACTCTTGATTTAAGTTTGTGTTCTTGGTTCCTTGTTTTGATGTTGGTCCTGTCGTTTGGCCAATTGCCTTTGAGGATTTTGAATACAAGAATTAAGTCCCCATGTTACCTTTGTCTGTTGCAGGCTTAAAGGATTCAATTCCCTTAGTCTGTTTGAGGGTTATCTTCCCTTTAGAGCAGGAATAAATGTGTTTGCTCTTCTTTGTCCTACTTCTGTGCTTATAACCATAATACTGCAAGTGGGATCTGTTATGTTGGCATGCAGTGTAAGTTTGTAGTTACGACACTGTCATGCTAATGTCTGGGATACTGTTACAGCACAAAGGGGTCTTACAGCTCATGGGCATTTTGTGGCAGTTCCATGAAATGCACGATAAATGGACGGCATGTGCTCAATGTCTCTGTACTGTCCCTGCCTTTTTTTGGACATAAGATCTAACAAATGGGTTACGTAGTCTTCAGCTGAATTCCATTGATCTAAATCTTACACTCTTAATATACCCCAGCGTTATTTGAGCCTCCTTCCCCTGAACTGCCTTCCCGTGTTTGACAGTAAAACAGAAATGCCTTTGCTTATGGTAATTCAACTCCCTTTCCCTTTCCCCCCCTCTCTTTCTCGTAGGACCATGGAGAAAAACAAGAAGAAGGGAAAGATCTTTTGAGAGGCACCTCAGGCCCTCCTCAGTCCCAAATAAACCACAAACTCCTTTTGACATCATCGCATCCCCCTGCTGAATACTATATCTGGGCAGAATCTCCATCCACACTCCAGACACACCAACGTTCCAGGACACATACTCGCTCCACTATACCACACGCATGTAGAAATACTTCTGCCCTGACCCGCCTGTACAATATCTATAAGCATCCTTGCTGATTCATCCTTAGGCATTGCGCCGTACTGATGCAAACTATGCACAGATCTCTTCATCCGCACTGCTACTCTGTGCATCGACCAACACACCTACTGCATACCTGCGTAGCTTCCACACACCACCCGCCAGCGCACTCACACCTACATGCCAAGCCAGCTGAGCAAGACACCACATCACACGTGTACCCATTCCCAGCATACCTCTGAGAGGACTTCAGGAAGCAGTGCCATGGAGAGCTGGTGAAAGGATTGCCAGGGCAGAGAAAGGAACTGGCCTGGATGCAGGATGACTGGTGCCGGCAGCTTATCCTAAACCTGCTTGTAGGGGTTTGAAAAAATGGGGGGTTTGGGGGAGGGTGCAAGGCTATGCGGAGGATCACAGGAGAGGCAGAGAGGATCGAACTGGATTGAAGCTGCGGATCTAGTTTGGTGATTCCAACACTGAGATCATCAACGTCCCCAGCTGGTGGCAAACTAACGGCATCAGTGAAGCGTCCTCTTCGGCGCCAGTTTAGACACAGATGTGGAGCTGTGACACTGGCACAGCACTATCTTCTTCCCAGCACCTTCTTGCTCAGAAGACGGGACGCTACAGTCACTCATGTCTAACAGTTCCTGTTGTGTGTAGGAAGTCTAATGCTTTTTGAAGGGGAATCATACAGAATCTCACCTGTACTTCTCAATACAACACCACTTCCATCCCAGGAAAGCTGACAAAATTTAGTGTGTAGTGTTAATCACTGTGCCACTGTACTGCAGTGATGTTGTCTGCCATTTAAAGGCTCAAAGCATGTTTCTTCCACCAGTGTGGAGTATATTTATTATTGGCATAATTCAAACAAAATGATTCTCACTGTTTTCTCCTTGACATCATGGGTTGAGTGTTAAATTCATTTTCTTTTGTTACAGTGATATGGTGGGATTTTGCTTCTGATCTTTAGACCTTATTAGCTGTGGACTAAAAGGGTGTGAAACATCCCAATGTTGAATGAATACCTTCTTTTAAGGTTATTTTCTGAGGCCAGATACCTGTGTTAAACCGAAAACCACCATTGATGGGCATTTGAGAGTGGCAGATTGGAAAAACCTTGGTTCAGTGTGCCCTGGCTTCCTCTTAGATATCTACCAAAATTGATTTAGATTAGTAGCTAAGACTAAGTATAGGAATTTGTAACCTTCCAGACTAGTGAAAATGTCTGAACTTGTTTACAGGTTCCATACAATATCATTAGTCCACTGTGGATGAATAGGGTAGCTAGTGTGTCTATCAGGATAATGGTCACACACAGCTGGATCTCCAGTCTATGTTGAGGCTCAATGTGTTACTACAGAAAGCCTGAATGCAAACACCAGGGAAAGTTTGAAGAGTTTCGCCTGTAATCCAGAAGTAAGACATTCCTATGCAGTTTAACTCAATTTTACCAGAAATGGATGTTGTGCATTCAGAAACTACTGATAAAAAGCACAAAACTAAAAAAATAAATACAAATGCAACATGGTTTTAAGGCTTGACATTTGAGAATAAAGTGATAGATATGAGTATGCTACGTTAGCTTGGAAATGTGGTTTGAAAAATGTCCTTATGCTGAATTAGGCTGGTTGATTGTCATGTTGAACTTCAGAATATCTTCTCTCTTGTGAAGCTCTTCCAGGCCTTTCACTTTTTTTCAGGTGTGTTTTCAAGTATTTAAAAATCTAGTGACTCTAACTTAAACTCACTTCACTGCAGTCTGTACCTGGCAAATATAAGTCCAGGCCACTGAAGGATTGTTAAGATACGGTGCATTTATTAGCTTAATTTTACTGTTGACAGCACCACACTGCACCAGAGAAGTTTTTGTGACCAAGTAGATCATGATACAGTATTACTTTAAGTAATAAATAAAAAGCAGAAACAATGCTCTGTTTGTGAAATCCATTTCAACTTGCAGGCATTTCAGAGGTGTGTGGGTACCAGCAACAATTTCAAATGGTAACCATAGTGTTCTATTAATTGCTCTAAAGTGTATCCTACAAAGGTTTAGTAAAATGTCCAGCAAAGTTATTTTTCTATTTGATTCATAAAGAGGTCCTCAAATATGGAAGAATTTGAGTAAACAGGAGCTGAATTGAATGGAATACCCCATATAAAAAGTGAGTTTTCTTCCAGTTAAAACCAGATGTGTGCCCAAGCTATGCAATTGGACCAGCCTCTACTGTACTGTTTTAGGTGGAATGTCAGCTGATACTGTGCTCTTTTATCCCTGCATGTTTGTACTGCTTGAAACTAATAGATCTAGTTTGACATCACTTTGCCGGTTTATTCTCTTATGCTAACAACAGCTCTTTCCCCTCTCTATTGCTACCTACTCCTCCTTCCAGGATAATATTGTAGAAAATAAGACACTCTGGACTCAAACAGCTGTGACTATTCAGGCTTTTCGGACATCTGGACTGAGAGTAGCAGGTCTGGTTTATGAAGTGATACATTGCTGTGTAAATTTCTCTTTTGATATCTGTGTGAAATCCGTTGAGGATCCAGTTGTCTTGTCCTTGTGCAGAAGTGGTCTTGTGGTGGAACGTATTGAAGGCTTTGCTAATTGACAATACAGTGATGGGGGGGCAAGTATATTCAAATAATAATAATAATGTCAATTATTTCATTGATTAAAAAAGGCTAGAAATGGAATCACTCTGAACTGAGTCATCTCAAGGTGTCTTCCACCATCACTGACTCCTGCTTGCTTTGGATGATTGGATGAATTGGAAACTGGGTTTTCTTTGGAGATGTCCTTTTCAAATCTTCCTGTTTCAGATTTTCCCTTTGCCTGCTCTTTCTTGTGCAGCTGTGATTTGGGGAGATCAGGCCAATGCAAAAGGCTGCTATCTTTTTTTTAATTCAAACATGATTCACTTAAAAAAAAAACACATAGAAGTGGAAGGTTCCAAGAAGGTGGGAGAAAAGATGTGCAAAGTGAAAGCAAGGGGGGCTATGAGCTGCCTGAGCAGCGATGGAGGAGAATTCAGCAGGCTTTGGAAATATGTGACCTCTGAGTAAAGCAAGAGACAGCAGGACAAGGCAGGAGTTCCCATCTCAGGACCCTGTGAATAGCCACTCCATCCCGTGTGGCTCTTCTGTTTCCAATCTTAAATCTGCATACCGTTTGTAAAATCGTTTAATCATTTGTACATCTGGGCATTCAGATATTTTGTCTGTATCCAAAAGTGAGTACATTGGAATGGTGATGTTATTATTGTCATATGTATGTTAACTTTTTTTAACATTTTGCAGGACGTGCCAAAACCCAGCATTTTATGTCTGTTTTAGTGAGGTTAAAAAGAGTGCTGATTTATTTGAGTTATACTGTATAAAGGTATGAACCTCAAAGGGAAAAGTAAAAACATTCAATAAGGAGAAAGTCCTAGGTCCTGCAGGATCTGCATATGCTCGGTGTGATCGTAAGCCCAAGGAAATATCATTTCTGTGCTACTGTCGTGTATAAGGTATTTTGAAAACCAAAAAATAAAATAACACTCTTTTTGGTAGTTATTCCTAACTAGGTATGTGTTGGAGCATTATTTATAATCCGTGTGTTTGGTTAGATTTGGGTCCATTTATCATTTTTTACAAGCTGACACCACAATTGTAGTTTCCAGATGAATAAAAATTACTTTTCCATGATAGTAATAGAGTGTATAGCATTGCCTTTCCTAAGGTGACACTGCAAGGCAGATGTTGGCTTCATGACACCCTTGGTGTATTTAGAGTATGAGCAATAACCTGTCGGATCAATGTTATTTACTAAAAACACTACCCAGTGGCAGACACATTCTTGTTCGCTGCTTAAACTCTAGAGGTGGCCAGTAGAGACCCAACACGGCCATTTTTCCAGGCCAATCCAATGAAACATGGTGGCTCACCTTCACTATCTCTATTCTTCTTAGTCTGTGATTGTTAGTGTTCAGCAGGGCATTTTCTGCCTGTGGGTCCACTTGTCTGAGGAAACAAGCAATTGGGTTTCAGGCGAAAGACGTTCCATTTCCATGAAATCCATAAAAAAATAAATCTTTGTATATACCCATCAAAAGAGGGCATGGGTGTGAATATGTTTTGTATTGAAATATGTTATATGCAGAACTGCAGCTCAGCAAAAAAAAAACATAAAACATTTTGGTGAATGACTGAAGGTTTTAACTGTATCCAGTATTGTATTTTCTCTTGCACCCTGTGTTGAATCTTGGCCGTTTCATGTCACCCGCTGAGTGTCTAGACTGCAACAGCAGTACCCGCAGGAATCATGGGAGTATGCCTATTGACTTGCAGCTTCCTGTCTGGGAATTCTGGGAAGGAAACAATGTGCATACTGAATCATTCTTGCACACTGTTCTTGTTCTAGCAGGAAGGTGGCAGCCTCAAGCTAAATGTTTACTCATCACACCACCATTAAGATGAAACCGTTAATCCAATCCTCTCAATTTCCTTCTTAGTATTGAGACACTGTGTTTGCTTTGTTTTTGTCTTGTAGCTCATTTTGTAATTATTAAAGGATATAATAATGAATAGAAGCCTAGAAGGGGTGCATTCAAGAGTGTCCATTGCAAAACTTCTGTTCCTCTACACAGATAATAGAAAGTGTGTGATCTATTTCTCAAAATATTATTGCTTGATTTTAGATTCCAAACGTACAGTATATTGCTTGAATCCTGTTGACTGTGGCTCAGCATCAACTTAGTACTTTTGATTCTTATTTTGCCTTCTGTGTGTATGGTTGACATTCTGTTCTGTGAACACACCTGTGATCTCTAGCCACTTTATTGTGTAGCTTTCCCAGGCACTCGAGTATGAATACACACTAAGTGGTGTTGACTTTTCAACCACCACTAGTTGGTCTAAATTAATTTAAACAAAATCTAAATCTAGAAAAGTTCTAAAAACCTAAATCACCAAGATTATCCTGATTGAGTTAGATTTTAAATCTCATCTAAACCGACTTTTGAGTGTATGAGTAAAGGTTAACAATTTTTCATCTTGTTTTGAAACAATTAACTCAATTCCTAAAGGAAGACAGAAATGTCAATATCGGAGCTCTGGAAGTCTTGATTTTCCATAGAATTGTTTCTTCAGAAAACAATTCTTTTTAAATTTCTCATTAGGGTAAGGCAATACTGTGTGCCACAAAAAAAAGGTTTACCACTCAGTCTACTTCTCAGGAGACTGTTGTGTTTGGTTAGAACTTTCTTGGAAATTGATCTGGACTTCCCTTCATTGGATGAAAATGTCCTTTCAATAAAGCTTTAGCTCTGCAGTCTGAGTTGCAGAACCTGGCCAGTAGCTGTGGTAGCCAATGGGCCTCCCTTGGGGATTGACCTAGATGGTGCACTGCTATTACACTCACTTCTTTCTTGGCAGTTTTTCCTCAGCCAAAGAGCCTTGCTGTAATGTTATCGCTCTTGGACAGATTTCTTTTTTTATGCTAAAGAGTTCCATAGAAAATGCCTTCCACCGGGGGAGTGCTGACCCAATTAAATTGCAGGTTCCTTCCTCACTGGTGTGTTTATTGACTGACTTGGATTCGGTTCTCTGTGTTGTATTTTGTGAACTGTACTACATTGTCCAGCTTAAAGTAAGAACATATTTGTTCACAGGAAGTGGCTCAGAATGTCATCAGGTTTTGTATCAGGACAAAGTCAAGACAGCACATCTGACACTTAAACCAAATTGGCTACCGGTAATCAATATGCAAAGAACCCTCTCTGCTCATTTTGATATAGTGCCAGGAGATCCATAATGTTGGAGAATAAGGTACATGGTGCAGCTTATTAATGCCAAATAAAATATGTAAAATACTGTGTATAACAAAGTAGGCTCCCTGCTTAGCAGCACTAGTTATTGTAACTAGTAAAGCAAGAGATCTGTGGGGCTGGCATCTTTCTGTAGGAACTTTGCTATTTTATGAAGTGATCATCTTCAGCAACTCTGCTGCTCCGAATCAAAGTTGTCAGGATTTAACCTCGTGTGTATTTCTGAAGATGGGAAGACTTGCTGTTTGAAGTCGATCAGTCGCCCTAGATTTAAACTCGCCACTCCCTGCAAGTCTCCCTTTAATGTTAGACATGAATATGATTTTAGACATTTTTTTATTCTCATTGTATTTCTTAATATGTATACAGTTTTCATCTTTTGTTTTCATTTGACTATCTCCTCAATTCTTTCTTCTTTAATTGTACATTATTAATATTAAACATGAAAAGGTTATGTTAAACACTGTGCTGTGCATGGTTATTCTTTGTAGGCTTTTCGTACCCCGGTAGAACAACAAAGCATTATGAATGACTGAAGAGATGGACAATCTTGCTCCAAGGTTCAGCTGACTCTCGATTAAAAACTGCACTGTTGAAGAGGGTATTCCAGAGGGTTGAAGTAAGAAAATAGCCGAGAGATCATCCAGTGGGTTGAATGACCTCTTGTTTGAAAATTTTCACTTCACCAATGCCCCTAGAACATTCATTTCCCTTTTCAACCAATTCTCGGTGATTATGGAGGCCATCCTAGAAATAACCCAGGGGATTAATTCTATTTGCACTAGTACATTGTACTGAAATAAGAAACATTTTAGAGAAATTGATTCTTCATTGGTGGTTGACAGGTAGAAATACAAAGGCCAGTGGATCTCCAACCTGGTCCTGTAGCACCCATGCATCTTCTGATTTTTATTACAACAGCTTTCTTTCATTTTTGAGGGTCATCAAGCTTGTTGATCAGACACCATGAGTGTTAGCTTCCTGTTTAAAGGGTAGAGGGGTCTAGGAGAAAGTGTAAACTCTGTCCTGTTTTCCAAGTGTTCGATCCTTCTCCGAAAGCCACTTGACTGGTAAATCAAGCTGGAGACGTCTTGATTGCCATAAAGAGAGGAGGACATATGCAGCTAGCAGCTTGCCTCTCACTCAGTTTCTTAAAGACAGCAACAGGCCTTGATTTTTGGGAATGAGCAAAACATTTTTTTTGTGATTGGTTATTAACAGCGTGTTGTCCTATACGGTACATAACCAAACTGAGGTCAACCGAGTTTAACTGAGGTCATCCTTGACAATCAGCCAATGTCCCTGCTCCTATTTATGAAGCTAAATCGGACACAAGATACAAAAACCATACTACCATTCTTGGGACCCAAGCAGCCTGGCATACAGAGACAAATCTTGTAGAATTTGTAGGTAACCTCATAACAAGCATGAATGCCTTCACACCTTTCTGAATTACCTTTGTCTAAGTCTCTGGAAAATAAGCGGTTGAGATTATAAAGAAATTAAAGACAAAAACTTTCTAATTCTTTTTCCCCCATCTATCCAGCTTCACTAATTGTTTACATCTATAGCTGTGTGTAGAACGATGCTAAAATAATCATCAAGCAAGGTGTTTTAGAAACCAAGGACTGCATGCACATTTTAATTCAGATTTGAATTTGTCCTTCACAGCCTTCTCGCAAGTGCTGAGAGCTGGGGTGGACTGAGTATCAGTGGCAAGATCCTCTTTCAAATGCTTTAACATTTGAAATGAAGCTGGCTGTCAGTCATGTATTCATAATCTCAACTTCATAGGAACAAAAAAGCAAAAAGAAACCTATTGCATACATAAAATACTATTTTAACATTATTTTAATCAGCTGCAGTATGATATCATATTAAAAAACTGAATGGCTGTGAAATGCATTATATATTATATTATAGTGCTTAATAATATTAAGAACTGATCCAAAGATTTTTAATTTCATACTTAAGAATTAGACATTAGAAATTAATTATCCAAAGGTCCTCCATCAATAGGTGAGCCTTGGCAAGTTAAAGTCTAACCCAGCTGGTTCAGAGACTACTAATTTTTTTAACACACCTGAGGAACTATCTACAGCTGAAAAGTTGCATTTCTACTTTCAATTTTTCAGCACAGAATTAACCTTTACTTTATCCATGATAGAGGAATGCAGTGTGTTTAAAATGCTGTTTAAGAGTTATTAAAAAATTAAGGAGACTTTCAACCTTTATTATAGCACAATTTTATTATACAATGCATTTTTGGCAAAATGAATCTCTAGTCCAGTGTGGACCCATTGGTGTTACATGTTTATTTCTGCTAAAATTCTCAAAAGAAAACACTAGTAATCAAACAGTACATCATATTCTGAGTACACATGAAAAAGGATAGGAGTAAACAAAAGAGTTATCATTCAGAGCTCAACTAAGGCAGAATCTCCCGATTTCATCAGCTTCTCTAAATGACTGTGTTGAAACGTTTCAACTGTTTTAAGCTCTTAAGCCACTGCCCTCATATTGACGCTCCTTTTTTTAACCTTTTGATCTCTGCTTTTTAAGAAATTCAATGGTACTCTTCACCCATACATTGTCGGCTCTCATGCAGATCAATTTATTTCTTGTTGTTTTGAATCTGAAAAACACAAAACACAAAAAAACTGTGCCTGTGAGTTTGAGGTGCATACTGTATCTTTGAGTCAGTGAGACTTACATCTGTACCCCTTTAATTGCTTCAGCCTTTTCTGAATGGTAACCTGTCATGCACATTTCGAGTCTTCATCTCTGTCACTCTGAGCTCTACAGCACCAAGCCAAGATGTTTCACAATTGTTATTTCAAAAACCGAAAGGCATAAAAGATAACTGCAGGTGTCCAATCAAATCTGCAAATAAAATATCAAAAGGGACGAAGGTTATTGCACGGCAGGAGAGTAGAGATACAGGGTGCAGGACTTTTGCATGAGGAGCTCTGTGGTCAGTGATGTTGAACACCTTTAAATTAAAGTTCCTACTTTCTCCTCAGGTATCCCATGAGCTTAAGGGTGTAGAGTGAAATAGTGTAACAGTCTTGGTTGAGAGGCGTGTCTGTAATCGCAAGGTTTGCCGTTACAATATATGGGCACTAATTAGCATGATTGGCCTTTTAATCTACACAGACTATACATTTGCCTTGGAGTTTCTAATTCACCTAACAGCTGCCTTTGTTGCAAAGCTATAGACACAGTACCTTCCATTTTTTTAATTGTTTGACATTAATCGAATCAGCTTTGGCAACATCGCATTTCCATGCAATTAAAGTATGGAAATTAAAGTCCTTTGAACCTGAATATACGTTTCAAATTGTTATTGTACCGTGGTCTTGAGGAATGGGATCAGTATCACCTGTATCTCCTCACTTTATATCTTAGGAATGTGGACAGGAGTATCTATGAACAGTGTGATAAATCATTAAGATTAGATGATGATGAGACAGGTGTTGGGTTAGGAAAGTGCCTAGCACATCCCACGATACTGTATATATATAGTTAAACCTATTTGGGAAGCTAGCATTTTTAAGTTACTTCCCTAACATGGTCCTGTAAAATTAAAGCAAAGCAAGACCCAGTTGTGTTGCTGGTCGAGGCTGAACTCCAGGTGTTTTACTTACATCACAGCAGAGGTGCTGCATTTTGTGTTTGTCGTCTTGAAATCCGCTATTTTTTTCAAGGGAATTTTTCCATTAAAGAAGTCAAAGCAGCACTGCTCAGGGATGCCAACTG